CACAATAATATAGGAGAAAATGATTAACAAATTGAAATCAAATTCAATGAAGTATGTTACTAGTTTTGACTTTTAAATTTTCCAATAAAAAGGAATGGAAAAAATCTCCACATGCTGTAAGAGCAAAACTTCCACACGACGTATTTCCAAAGTTCTCTTTTGATACACCAATAAAATATTAGTAACATCTCTTAATCATTTAAAAGGATCCAGAAATCTCATCTCTTCAACTTATTTTTCAATCCCATCTCGAGAAAAATGATGGCAAAGATATTAAGGTTACGGAATTTGCCCAGCCATTTCCTGAGGGGCATAACTGCAATTTAATTTAGTAAATGGAAAATCTGAGACAGAAATTTAGTGAAAAACGTACTAAAGGGGATTCTTTGATTGAGGCGAATAGAAACACCTAAGTTCCTTAATCTATTTTAGAATGAATCCATCCAATATTGCAAGGCCCTCGATGCCAGGACGCATTGCAAGTAAATACCTGAGCATTTCCCATCGATATCGGCTGAGCAGGTTGTTCACATGAGAGTCTCGCAAGAGATTTGTGTTTTACAAGACAGAATTAAATTTACTTCCAGGCTAGATATTTCCGCCAAGACATTAATACTCACTACCTACAAGCGATGGGGGAGCGACTCTCAAACCGTTTTGCAATTTACAAGGAACTTCAAAAGTTGTAATCCTATACAAACTTCTGTATGGTGTGACAGTAACGGAATTCAAGGGGATGCCTAAGTAAAATCACCGAAAGCTGAAAAGCTTAATGATCTAAGTGCGAACAATAATTGCCTCAACGTCTCATTTAGGCGCTAATTTTCCACAAACGCTTCGTATGAACCGAATTACATAAATTAAAACATCAACGGCTTTGTAATTTTTCTTACGGTTACACTAACTTTCGTAATTATTTAGAAAGTTTCGTGTATTTTCGCTAAAACCAAAATTCCAAACTTGTTGATTTGTTAAAGTTAGAAACTTAAATTTCAGACAGCTTTGATCGGCTGAGTAGATTGCTATATTTATTTACTTCAATGCTTCGGGGCTATTTCTGATAGATTACTTACAAGAGCACTTTGCTGGTTTTTAACATTTTCCTTTTGAACATGATTAGCGGCAAAACGAAACCAAAGTTCAGAGCAGAGTGAACCCGTCAACCAATATTAGCGTTATCAGTGTAAATTTAGGGTATATAAATTGTTTGTGCTTCTGAATGGTTTTTAATTAACATCATTTTATTAAAAATACTCAAACTACCCCTGCGTTTCTACTGAATTCTTCATAAAGAAAACTAAACTTGTGATTCTTAACCAATTGACCATAGTTTTCCTTGCCTCCAGCTTCCAGCAACGCTTACTCTCCATAATCACAATATAATATAATTCCGAACGTTATTTAAACTGGAGTTTGAAACGTGTTGATATCAACAGTCATAAAGCAGTCAATTCATTTTTCTGGCAAAGCAACTCCAACTAAAAACAAGTACATGAACTCTGGTAGTAGTCAATTCGCATCTAAAAGTAAATGTAACTAGCAATTTTGAATTTGCACGAAACTAATCAAGTTTTATTTATCTTTAAGACACTGTTCATTCCAATGTCATAATTGTATAAGGGAATTGCTTTACTATCCTTTATCGTTAATACCTATTAGTAGATATAGTAAATTACGAGGTAAATTATGATCAAGTAAACGATAGGATCGGTTAGTGTATAAAGAAGCAGTAAAAGTGGGAGTAGTAATGAAAAATTTACCCTAAACACTTCAACCTTTATTTATAACGGGGCGCATTCTTAAGGATCCTCATTATTTATTTACTCTTAAACGTCGTATTTTAATTTACCTACCATCTTGAATAAGGTATTCTGGAAAATTGTTTGTAAATTGTTGTATGATATCAACATCATCCGACTTGTTGCGGTTATCTGACCATATACAGTGTATATGTTAATTGGACACACTGTATATAGACAGATACCGAGTGAGTCGTACTCGTACCACCTCAATTACCGAGTGACAAACTAATAAACCATATTGATCTTCATCTTTCTCTAAATATTCGGATTTTTCAGTTAATTTGTCGAATAATCGAATCCAATGAAGCAATTCTCGTTAAGCAGTAGAAAAATTTGTCTGATTTAAAGATTTTTTCCATTATTTGCTTCTGCATTTGATTAAAATGTACCTAATAAAATAACCTTCGAACATTAGGCTTTAATGGAATATTACGTTGATATGTAAGTATGACCACAAAACAAAGTAACAATCAAAGGTGCGATCAAGTTCTTAAACTCTACATTTTTCAAACTATCTGTAGCGGTCAGTTAGACAAACAAGTAAAATTGCAACACTTTAGGAGTGAAAGAAAGAAGTTGGCTTTCCCAAAACGCATCGGCGTTAATTTGGAATGTTTTTCAAATGTTGCCTCACGTGTATATATAATGAGGATAATTTACCGCATCGCGAGGGCGACAATGCTAACTAAATGAACCGACAAGGGAGGTTTGCTTCAACAGTATTAATCTATTACCTAAACCGAATACACGCTTTTAACAGGCTACTAACACAATGTCCCTTTTGATACATTGAAACCGCTAACGTGTAATAGAAAGGGGGCGTAAATAACAAACTCGCTGCGTCTGAGAAATGGGGAAATCAAATATATTCGTCACGTTTCGGTTTCTTAGAGTAGGTGACTGTTAATTTAATAATGAACGAAATGATGTCCTGCAATATTTGACAGGACATGTAGGTGCTTTGGTCACTCACTAATCCCAATAAGTTAGGTAGAAGAAATCAATCTTTTAAAATTCCCACACAACTTACAGTAAGGAAGAGCGAACAAAATTATTCGCTTTCTCCAAACTCAATTCATCATTGTTTGCATTTATTAAATGTTTGTACGGAACGGATTCGGTTTTTAGATTCGGTCGTTCCATCTCCCTATTAAATTATAAATTCATTGAAAACCGTTGTGTTTGGGTCCTTAAAATAATTTTGAGACGGGTCACTGGTTTCAAAATCTATTTATGTTTCATTATCTTCATAACAAGACGGAATATTGGAATTCATAAACAAACGCACAACGTAAACTGTTTTCAATGAAGTTCCGTTGTGACTCAAGCGGTTATACAATAACAAATATTAATAATGTTTCTTTTTTGCGACTTCCGATTTTCACTACAAGTATTTTGTTGTCACTTTTCGAATAAAACAAAAACCAAATATAAATAACCTATCTTATGGAGCTTGTTATTCTGCGTCCAATATAAAAATTATACAGGGTGTTGCATTTGAAAACAAAAAATATATTTAAAAAATATCGCAATTAACGGAGATAATCGACCGATTAGGGAGTTTGTACTAACGTTGTATATTTTTTAGAATTGATGTGAGAAACAACAATACATAAATAAGATGATACAATTGCCAAACCTTTATTCGCTCTGAAAAATTGCAAGGAAACTGAATATGCGTACTCATAAAGTGCTTATTAACTAAAACTGCCAATCTCCGTCCAATATGCAGGGTAGAAAAATAAACAATGGAAAAAAATGAGTTGCAAATGGAACCAAATCAAAAATTCTAACTAAATAAACATAAGGTTCAAGATGGATCATTTAGATTTTTTGGGGTACAAAAGCGGCAAGAATTTCAAGAGATTTAGTTTAGACACCCCTCAAGGACTTCAAACATTCGTCGCTAAAGCAGATATTTTTGGAAAAATTGGGACCCCCATCAATTCTTTGAGACCTTCTTTTGTCAAATGGCGTGTTTATTCCCTTAAGGTGAATAGAACTTTACATAGAAGTGCTCTATCTTTGAGGATGATTTACCGCTTATTTGTGACTTCTAAATTGGGTTTGTTTCGATTTGCACATATCTCATAATTGAAGATGTTGATGGGAATTTTTACACGTAAATGATACGCCATTTTTCTAACGCTTCTTTATCTTGGTGCATTTTCTTTTTAGACATCCAATATCTGACGGTTGGGCCAACGTAATCTAATTGTTATCATCTTCATTCGTATTAATTGGTTTCTACGCCCTCTCATTAACTTAGAGGCATGTGCGTTTGGGATTTTAAGACGGCCGTTGTATTAACTATTTTTAAACGATTTGTCCTTCCTCCCGCTGAACAATACCAGCCCAGCTCGATTGTGTTAAAACTATCAGGGCGTTGCCGTGCGAATATATCAATTTAATTGGGCGCAATACCTGTATCGATCTTATCAAGGAGATAACGGCCACATTGAAGCCATTGTGTTGATTGTATAGACCTTCTGGACACTTGGGCAATTAAATAAACATCCGAACAACTGGACTCTCTTGTTGTGTGTCAGTGTGTGGTATAAAGACGAGTTTATCAGTAAACTCCGATCAGTCGTGTACACCTGAATCCACACTAAACATATTAACATTCTGCACTGTCCAAAGGATTTCGGTTTTGCACTCCGCTTAGTTTGAAGGCCCTACTAATTTAAATAGCAATTTATGGGGCATTCAAATAAATGATCTTCGTGTAATATTGCGTATTTCAGCAGGATTACGTACACTGCGGAGGTATACGTTTTAAGATGTACACATATATCCATCTTGGTGACAAGTTGGCTTTGCTGACGAAAAAATAGATTGAAGTAAATCCGTAAATAACTACTTAAGATGAATCGTTTGGAAATGAATAAACCCATGACACGTGTCTCTTATTAAGCGGCAAAATTGTTGTACAAGTGCTGATTGAAAAAGATTGAGCACTTAAATGTACGTTGTGTTGCCTTTGACAGTTTTCAATTTCTCTAAAACCTAAAAAAGGCATTGTATATAATTTATTTTCCTTTTGACAAGTTACATAGAATTTTCTAAAATAATATTTTATTTTTATGTACGTTTTATGAAATTTTCCGTTTCCGTTCAAACCCAATGTGCTATCGCGTCAAAATGCGAAAATTGCGGAAACTTATAACCAGACTGATAATGTAGTTTTTCGCTTACCTTAAATATCTCCCAAGTTGCAGAAAAGGGAAGCACTGCTAATCCAACTAGGAGATCAGCGACGGCAAGCGACACAATAAATAAGTTTGTCACAGATCTTAATTTCGACGAACAGAAGACCGCGGCAATCACAAGACAGTTACCGACAATAACCATAACATTAATTAAAGCGAGGATCGAAAGCGAAGTTAGTAGTCCTGGATCGCTCCAATTCACTTCTTCCAATAGCGCCGCACACGCGGACGCGTTTAACGTTTTTCGCATCACCGCATTCGCATTCTGATTCTACAAACGCGGCTTGCAGTTACACAAAACACTTTTTGACGTCTTCCATTTATGATAATGAAGAAACTTGAAAATGCTACGCCATGAATCGTTTTTGACAATCATATTTTATATTCACCGCAACGTGCGCTTTTCCAGCTGGTGTCAGAATCTACAAGCTTTCCGCCATAGTCTGGTCCATCTTCAGCGGAGAATTCTGTAACAAACATTAATATTAGACAAATTCGTTAAGCATGTAAATTGAGTTAAGAAATTTATTTCTCGTCAACTGTAAATAGGGATATTGCTTAGCTTAGCCTTATTGCTCACTAAAATAACTTGATTAGACATTTATGGTCATTAAATTTTACTGGAATTCTAGTGAGCGAATAAATTTTAACTTTATCTAGTAAAGCAGATGTAACTCGGGACATTATTCCAATTTTATCTATCATTGATATTTTCGAATTTTATGGTACGAAAATTAAGTACCTTCCTATAAATACTTTTACGCATCATGCTATACAATACATAGAGCACAAGAAATGCGTCTCCATACATTCTCTTATTTGAATTATACAGGAAGTATACCTTTTTCTAATATACTCATCAATGTAATCAAAAATTCATTTCCGAACGGACAACCAGTATGTTTCCGATTCCATACGCAAGCAGTTCTCTGCTACTTCCGTCAAGGGTTATACCAAATTTCGTGAGCTCTTCACACCAAGAAAGTGGGTCTAGGACAACTCGCCGTCGGGCAAACTCGCCGTTGGTCAAGTCGCCGTCAGCGGAATAAATAATAAAAAATACTAAATACTAATAAATGTTTGTAAGTGTAATCAGTTTATTCTTATCAAACAAAACAATCTAACATTACAAAAATATTTTTGGTTATACATTATACATTTACATTTCATAATAATTATGGGCTAACCCCCTAAGATATTCCGAAATATCACTATCGTTCCCAAAATTCTGGACTACTGATAACACGCGTGCGTCAGCGTCTCGATACTTTCTCAATTTTAGAGGTGGAGGGTTACCAGCGACCACTGAATTCTTAAAAGGGTGTAGGCGGTTATTATAATTTTCAAGGAAGGTCTTTTTCACAAGGGTTTACGTACAATTTTTCTTGCTATTTTGCATACGATAAAAGGATCTAGATCGTGTTGGGGGGATCTTGGATCTTGATCTAGATCCTTTCTTAAAAGTAGATCTTTGATCTGGATCTAGATCATGATTTTTAAATGTATCTGGATCTCTATCTAGATCCAGATTAAAGGATCTTACCCAACACTGCAAATAACTACACCATTCCAATGATGAAACGAGATTGCTAAATAATATTATATGACTAAACTGATTGCAGTTTAAACATCTAGTGTTAGATTTAAATATTTAAAAAAAAAATCTTTATTTTGTTTCCGGTGACGGCGAGTTAACCGACGGCATGTTGACCGATGGTGAGATTGCCCGACGGCGAGTTGCCGACGGTCAGTCGGCGACGGCGACTCGGCGACGGCGGCTTGTCCCTGCCCGCAAGAAAGTATTTGAAAGTAAATCCTTAGTTGGGCCCTTCCATATAGCTCGAGTTAGCCAAAACCAACTACCGAGCTTCAATTTTCAAGCATTCGTAAGTCCTGTTGCAAGTGTCAATTTGGGGTGCTAATATAGCGTTATGGGTCAATAGCTGTGGCTGTTGCACTAGGTTGTTGCTCTTTTGATGTTCATTTTTCATGTAATTAATTTTCTTCAATTATTTACAGTTGATTCTCTCCTTTTAAAACGTAGCCGACATTCATAAAATTGGATAGTGGAACGTGCAATGCAATCGGACCAATGGTACTGCCTGACAAATTTAGCTGATCGTTGCAAATTAATTTGGAGAGATGATTGACTACTCCAAATCAGGAGTTCCGTAGTAGGGAAATGTCAAAATTATAATTCAGAGTTTTAACCTCGGTTTTAACAGTCAACAAACGCGCGAATTAATTGTCTTGGACTTTATTACCAGTAACCGTTTTATTTGGAACCTATTAGGGGAAAGTGGGGGAACGATGTGCGGCGTCTTAATCGCCCATCCAAATCACCCAAAATTATTAACAAAAATGACATCTTTGTGCCGGTATGGCGGCTATGCGGGCCCGTCGCTGCGGTATGGCAGGTTGATTTTCGTGAATGACTGATTGAAGACTTGATGCTCATAAAAAAATGAGCTTGTAGCTAATCACCCAAAAAAAACAAGCAATCGACACGTTCAAATGAGTATGGCGGGCTATAAGGCCCACCGGAAAAGTATGGCATTTCCACCAGAAAATCCAAAGAATTTTGTGTAGCAAATTGTCCAAAATCATTAAATTTTCCGACATGTTTAAACAATCGTCACGCAATAACGGCCCCACTCCCAGAGAGTTAGCACCATTTTCGTTTTGAGGAGTACTTAATTAAACCTTTGAATGGTCGCCATACTTGTAGCAAATCACACAACAAAAAGTGTAACCATCTCCCGGTCTAAGACAGTTCGTATGCCAAAGCGACAACCTTATATGATCTACCTCTTCAAAGTCATATACCATATACACCTTCCTCTGGACAAAAGCAGCTACCATCTGCATCAAAATTAAATAACTCGTTCTTCTATTCCAAGGCAACAAGAAAAAGCAACAGTAAAAGCAGTTTTGCATTCTAAACACCATTCAGAATTACTGACAGGCACATCCCTAAAGGAAAGATTCGAACAAGCATAAACAAAAAAAAAGGGAAAAAGAAGAAAGATTAATACAAAGAAAGGTAATAAGAAAATGAACCCGAACTTGATGCACAAGAACGTGACGAACTATGCTTATTTCCTTTTCCAACCAACTTCTATGGAAATGCTAAATGAAGGAGAACGGTCAAAGAGAAACCAGCAACGACATTCGTGAAAAGTCTGACCACTTCAAATATAAACGCAATGAACGTTCCGCACCTTGGACCATAACGCTTTTATATAAAATATAACCGCGAGTACTCTAATCCGCTAATGGAATAACACGCAGATGTTCGCGTACGTATTAACAAAGTATTCGTATTCGCACTGTATTTACGGTTGAACATAAATTATATCCTTGCAGCCAGCAAATTCCAATATACTTTTTGCATAAAAACGCTGCTTAGCATGGGTTTTGTTCGTAATGGCAACTCAAAATGAACTGATCAAGCACCCACGACCATCATTTCGTCGAAATGGCGGCACAATTTTCCTGTTGTGCGATTGACGATCCTTTCGTATACTGGGGTTATACGGCTTTCGGTTCGAACTTTTAATTGAAAAATGAAATTTTACGCAATCTCAAAATGCCGCACTCAACTTATATAGTTTCGCTTCGAAGGATTGACGAAAAATTCAAAACCAAAATTTTCTAAGCCTAAAGAAACCACTCTACTGCATTTCTCGCTCACGAGCAATTTTGTCCATGAGATGAGAAAACTAAACTGGGGCGTTCGATACCATGCATTCTTAGGTTCACACAACATGGTAGCTTTTCCAAAAGAATATAATTTAAGGGATTATCGGTTCTCATAACCACTATTTTTACCAACATCAATCATTACACCAGTTTCCTCTTGTGCAGGGTGTTGTAACTAAAAAAACACAATTTCCTTGGATTTGATAAGGTTTCTGGTCTTTTACCTAAATCGCCTACATAATAACTATATTTCTACTACTTGTCATTTGTGTAAGTGTACAGAAAAGCCATAAACTCTAATTTGAGCGGTTTTTAAGTGTTACCTATAGGTTATATTTTAAGACATAAAAATAGACGAGCTTGATTTTTGCACCATCAGATGATGTCAGTAATCTAAAAAAATGTCTTTGTCATGGTTGATCAAGTACAGCAAATACCAAATCGTATTCACCACACATTTCCCTATCTTCATGATATTTCAAAAAATTGGCTAGATCACAGATTAGTTACTTTTGCATTTTATATAGTCGTACTTTATTGTAAGAATAGTTAAATCATATCTAATTACCACTTATACGACTAGGAGTAAATATTATCTAAGATTTTATAGTTTTGGAATTATCGTGTAGAGTTCAAGGTTTAATATGCATGAATGAAATAGTGCATTGATCATGACCTTTCTGAGGCATGGATATCGCTACAAAAAAATTAATAATACTCCTATAACATAAAAACGCAATCCATTACACTGTTTTACCATACCTGGGTGCTTTGGCAAATGGAAAACGATATTCAACGTAGAGTTTGTAAGAGCAAGACAAAACTTGTTCAAAAGTACTTAACTGTAATGCCAGTAACCTACTAAGCATCTAGGTCCGTAGGTATCCACTTGGTAGAATTGGCGATCATTTTAATTGTCCGGAAAATGACTTTCGGCGCAATTCTGTCGGGCGTTGAGAATCGATTATATTGTCTTAATTAAGTCTACGTGGCCAAAACTGCCCATATAGGATTGCCTGGCGTTAGGTCACTACCAAAAACCTGAAAAAGTCCGCATTAAAAATTTGAACAAGCGTGACAGTGTGAGATATGGCTAGCGTAATTGGTGAATTTTAAAGAAATCAAATGCGTTAATGACTAAAAATGGCCAATTTCATTAATAAAGACCTATTTTGTGGCGTCAATTATTTATGAAAGATAGGTAGGGATTAATTGCGGGATATTTTTCCGAGCATCCCAGTTTTGCATGTGGTAGAATTCAAATCTAATTGTGTTTTTTTTCTGGCATTCCCCAGTTACACATCATACTCTTTCTCAGCTGCTTTCAATTTCTCAAAAAATTCACAAAATTTACACTATAGTTCACTTTTTAACACTGGCGGAAATGGTTCATTAGGAAATGTGCGTTCAAAAAAAGATTACATGTTTTAGTCCCCAATTGCAAGAGAATTGCTACACAATGAAATTACATGGAAACTAACGGAGTCTAACCTCTTCTTGCTAAAAATTATTATTTCAGATTTATTTTGCTCAAAGGACCAATAGTTACTTAGGAATCCTTGGTGGTACACATTAACTTCACTTTTGCACATCTCGTCGTAGTAATGCCTCTTTCCGTGTTCACAAAGAGGATTGTTCCGTTTACTCTATTTAACACGTTTAATTCTTAAACTGGAATTAATACCCACATAATAGCGATTCTTTTCTGTAAGGGTTGACGTAACCCCTCCCAGGTTAATCCAGGTTAAACAAACTAACGATGCTA